ACCCAAGGGTTAAGCATCGTGATGGCCAGTAATTGAGGTTACCTACGGCCATTTCTTAAACAAATCAAATAACGCGAGCGGAAGTAATATTTAAATAAAGGTACCAAAATAATCATTGGAGCTTCTATTTTTATTACAAAATATATTGACAAAAAATGCCGATATTTACATATAAAAATGGAATAAAAGTGTTGTGTGTGTCTATTCTGCAGTCCCGCATCTAAAACTTTTCAAAAGCTATTTCTGAATTGCATTGATTCCTGAAAATTGGTAAACAACTATAAGCACATGACAGAGTGAGAAATATTATACCAAGAGTATAAGAGATACGAAATAACCATGGATAATTATGTAGCCAAAACATTTACATAAACAAATTATTTGAGTAGCAGAAATCATTTAAGTAGCAGAAACTGAAATACAGATATTATGTAAATGTATCACCATAACCACGATACAGAACAGAACAGAGCAGAGGTCACAGAAGTGACAGTCAGAACAGAGGTACGGATTCAAGAGGTGGCTCGTACAAATTCTAGAGGTGGCTCCCGCGATGGTGTAGCACTTAACTCCGCACAACACTTTGGTCCGCACAGAACAGAGATACGGATTCAACAGGTGGCTCGTACGGATTCTAGAGGTGGCTCTCACAATAGTGTAGCACTTACCTCCACACAGCACTTTGGTCCGCACAGAACAGAGGTACGAATTCAAGAGGCGGCTCGTACGGATTCTAGAGGTGGCTCCCACAATAGTGTAGCACTTAGCTCCGCACAGTATTTTGCTCAGTACAGAACAGAGGTCAATGGATCAGAGGGCCACAAAGTAACCAAACAGAGGCCAATGGTTATTTAAGTCCTCAAAGGCGTGGGACTCTCGTGGTGGTACTTACAAAACATAATTTTATATAAGGTCATAGCCAAATATTCTTTAAAATATAAACAGACGTATCCATGAGTTTCCTTTTAAGCAAATAGAGTTCAGAAGATAAACCACGTAACTGAAACCTTTATAAAACATAACTTTTATTAAAAACACAACTTGCATAAAACAAATTTTGATAAGTTAAAACATACGTGAAACACATTTTAATGACTCAAAATATAATATAACTTACCTTAACTTTAATACCCCATAATTTCTTTCTGCTATCAAAAACTCCTTTAACTTCTACCATTTTTCCCTTTCTTTCCTCACTTTTCTTTATCCTTTCTTCTTTTTCTTTTCTTGCTTTTCCTTTCTTTCCTTCTTCTCCCTTTTCCTTCGGCCCAGATCAGCGCCTCCTGTTTATAAGGAGGTCAGGCCATTGGTTGGCCAACACGTGGCCAGGCCATAATGTCCATCAGATCCGTTAATAAATTTATAGATTCATTCTTATCCGTAATAAATATTTAAGATAATTATTCTTTGACCTAATATTTAATATAATTATATAAATAATTTAATTTTTAATTAAATTACACTTTATCATATATTAACATAAAATTAATTATTTATTTTATTATCACATCCATTATTATTATTATTTATTTATACTTTGACCCCTAAATTCATAATAATTATATTATTTCACAAAATTACACATAATAGTATCAATTGTGTGGAGTTGTCTGGCATATGGATAATGGGTTTATATGAGAACGTAATCCATATGCCAGACATATATGTATTGGAGGGAAACAGAAATAGGAAAAAGAATTAGGAACAGAAATTGAGGGAAACAAAAAGAAAAAAAAAAAAAAATTGGCTGACCGGTCGACCAACCGGTCGCCCCTTTCCCTGGTTCACAAAGTGGGTTTAAACAGCTCAAAAGGGTAAAAAAAAAAATTTAAAAAAATTTACACATACCGGTCGACCCACCGGTCGACCAACCGGTTACCCCACGGGATTTGATGCACCGTTGGAGCTAATGATATTAAATTTGATAAAATAAGCCATTTTTAACTCATATTTAGTGAAAAAAAAAATTCACCACTGGAGATGCTCTAACACATTTATAGCAATTTCACCTTTTTGGCTTCTATGCCTAGGCTTGTCTTGTGTATGTGCTCTCACCATAATGTATGTCTCATCAAGGGCTCCAAGAGAATTCTATCAATTTTTTTTAAAGATAAAAAAATTAAATATTTTATACGTGATAATTATATATACATATATTAAATTTAAATTAAGTACATACTTCAAATTATCTCCAATTAATATCCATTGAGTTTGCAGGAATAGTCTCAGGCCTTTTAAGTAAATTTTCTTAAAGTCTATGATAGAATTCAAGATATTATGAATGTTAATATTATATAATAACCTATCCTAAAGAGAATAAATTGTAGAGAGAAATTGTGTATCTCTTTTATTATATATTTTGTATCTGTGTTGTTAACTCCTTTATATAGAGGAGAGGTTACATAATTTGGAGGAGCCATTGAGGAGCAGCTTACCGAAAGTGGCCGAAAGGCTTACATGCAGATTCAGTATCACCCAGGTAAGGCAAACTCCGTAGCCGACGCATTAAGCAGGAAGCTGGTCGGAAGTTTAGCGTGTCTGGCAACAGTCTCAGCGGAACCGACCATCGTTGAGGAAGTAAAGACCAGGCAGGTGGAAGATAAGTTCCTAAAAAGGGTAATCGATGAATTTGTCTCCAAGCCGAGGCCAGGGTACATAGTGGAAAATCAGGTGCTTAGGTTCGAAGGAAGATTGTGTGTAGCCGACGTACCAGAGTTGAAAAGGAAGATTTTGCAAGAGGCCCATAACTCCAAGTTTGCCATTCATCCAGGGAGCACCAAGATGTATCAAGACGTAAAGCGGACCTTTTGGTGGCCAAACATGAAGAGAGAAATAGCTGAGTTTGTGTTTCAGTGTCTGAGTTGTCAGCAAGTGAAGGCAGAACACCAGAGACCGGCAGGACTTCTCCAACCCTTGTCAATTCCTGAGTGGAAATGGGAGCACATCACCATGGATTTCGTAGTGGGTTTGCCGAGGACGCAAAGAGGTATGGATTCCATTTGGGTTATAGTTGACAGGTTTACTAAGTCAGCTCGCTTTTTCCCTGTCAAGACTACATTCAATGCCGACCGACTTGCCGAATTGTACGTAAACGAGATCGTTAGGCTTCATGGTGTGCCGATGTCCATTGTGTCAGACCGAGATCCGAAGTTCGTTTCCAGATTTTGGCAGAGCCTGCAAAGAGCTTTCGGAGCCGAGCTGAGGTTTAGTACAGCTTTTCATCCCCAGACTGATGGGCAAACAGAGAGGACGATTCAGACACTTGAAGATATGCTTAGACTGTGTGTATTGGACCTCCAAGGAAGTTGGGGAGTGCATTTGCCATTGGTGGAATTTACTTACAACTTAAGCCAATATCATGGGTATGTGGAAACATAGGGTAGACACCCCATCCAAACTAAAATTCTTTAGACAAGAGTTTGAAATCCCAGCTGATGTCCATCTGAGGTCGGCTGGGGATGATGACTCCATCATGCCTATCGATGACTCCATGCCCTTCCCTGTGGTAGCCTTTATCGAGTGTGGACTTCGGCTCCCACTCAACATCCTTTTCCGTGAAATACTTCATTATTACAAGTTGAACCCAATGCAACTTTCTATCAATTCCTATCGAACCATCAACGGTATCATAGCCTTAGCCAAACAAGAAAACGCTAGGATCACATTAGCTGACATCCAATATTGCTACACTATGTGTGGCCTTAAAAAAGACACTGGCTACGTTTACTACCTCAAGCCGAGGTCTACTGAATATAAAATCGTTGCCGACCTCCTTGACTCCAACAAGGGAGCTGGGGATAATTATTTCATTACTTCGGGGAAATGGGAGTTCGCCCCAGATGAAGACCTTCATCTCTTCCGTCCCTTCTATCAGTCTTTGTAGAGGGCAATGGTAAGAGCCCTGCATTCATACCTACTTGTTTTTTAAAGTCTTTCATAGTTTATCTATTTCTTAATGTCTGTTTTTCTTGCAGTTGTTCCTAAGCCACCAAAAAACTTTTGCCAATCCTTCATTTCCAGCAAGGATTTGAAGAAACTCTTGGACCTACCAGTCCATAAACGGACGGCACCTCTGCTTCTCAATTTTATTCCAACATACAAGTCAGCTCTGCCCGACGTCCCTAGGAAGAAGAAGAAAAGTGTAAGAACCCACATTTTTCATCTTAATCATGTTCATGAGCATTTGTATGATTATGACTTGTTAAGCTTGCATGTGTATGTTGTGACTTGATTTGCTTTAGCAAGTGAAATCTGTGCCTTGACTTGAAGCCTTGTGATTTGTCTAAGTATAGTGCACCTGTCTTGTTCCTTCCTTGATGTAAAAACTTAGGTCACGCCTTGCCTATAGCCGATGTTATTCCAAGCCGAGGTCACCCTTAGTCTAGTAGTAGTATCTTGGAACCCCTTGTTGATCTCCGTCCTTGCCTCGACCACGTTAGCCGAGATGTTACCTTGCACCCCAGTGATCTCGTCCTGGTGCGGTATGACCTAGGCCGAGGTGTGGCGCATCTAGGCCAAGATGTGGCACAGCTTAGTCAAGTGTTTTCCTTCCTAGCCGAGGTCATTGTCACCTTAGTTGCCGTAGTCCTTGTTAGCCGATGTCACCCCTTGCCGAAGTGTCATTCCGTGCAGCTTGTTAGATATGCCTTGTTGTTAGCCGATGTCATAGCCTGTCAGAGAGCCCATACCGCCTTGCTTGTTGAACACCCTTCCACCATGCCTTGTCTGGTCTGCCAGTCACCTTTTCAGGTAGAACCCAACCAGTCGCCGCCACGTGTCTCAGCAGAGGATTAACCCCAGAACCGGGTATATAAAACTATCATTTGGTGTCATAACCTTGTCTTGTAGAGAGAGAAGCTCTAGGAGGAAGAAAGAGTTTTAGAGTGAGGAAGTAGATCTTCAAGCTTGATTTCTAGAGATCCAACCGTTAGATCCGCATTCTAAGGTTAGATTCTTGATCTACTCGTAATGTTCTTTATGATTATGTTATTGCATTATTGTAGAGTTGGGGTGCCCTTTGTAATGGGAACTACTGGTGGAGACAGGGAGCGGTTGTATAAAACTGTAGAAGACTCAAAAGTTTATGCTGTGATCTCACCTCAAATGGGAAAACAGGTGATCAAGATTCAGTAGCCGTATACTGGCTTTTATATAATTTAACATTGTCAATTTGTCTTTCCTTGTCTTGTTGAAATTTTGATTGGCTGGTCTTGATTAGGTTGTAGCATTTCTTGCATCAATGGAAATTATGGCTGAGCGATTTCTCGGGGCCTTCTCTGGATATTCCCTGGAGGTGACGGAGTCTCACCAAGCAAGCAAATTGGACACATCTGGAACTGCCAAGGCTATTGTTGCATGCTTTAAAAAGCTGGGAGTCTGCTTTGAATTGGATAAGATACAACGAATCCGCGATCCAAAGCAACAAATGGAGATAGTGGGTGTGCCAGAGGAGCATTTGTTTCGTCATGCATTCCATCTGTGAGGTGCCGAAAGAGAGAGAGGAAGAGGGTTTGACTGGGTGTGCCCCTCAAAGAGAGAGAGAAACCCGGGTCAAAATGCAACTCGAGTTGGACTTATGCACGGCTCTCATGGACTACTCAGTTTTATGTGTATATTTTGCTTCCGCTCTTGTAAGTCCCATATTTCATACTCTGATTGTGTGAGATTTTTTGTAAGTCGGCCTTCGGTAACCTCGGGTTACTGGCCATCACGGCACCAAACTACTAGGGGCGGTTTGGGGGCGTGACATTTTAAGACGAGATTTATGTAAATATTTATATTTGTTGAATATAATACTTAGGTCAAGTTTAGTAATTTAAAAATAATTCATTTTTTTATATTTTTATCTTTTTTTCATCATATCACCTTTTTATTTTTTTATACATTTTTTTATAAAAAAATAAAAAATATATTTATTTAAATCATTCCAAACAATCCTTTACTAGGAGATTCTTTTAGTCCATTTCTTCTACTAGTGCATCTCAAAGCACTCTCTCATCAGCCGCCAATCCTTCCCAGCTCGATAATATGTAAATGAATTACATGTCATGTGAACAAACCCCTAACCCATTTATAGCAATTTCACCTTTTCGGCTTCTATGCCTAGGCTTGTCTTCCTTATGTACTCTCACCATAAGAAAAATAATTTGGACCTCTAAAAAAATACTTCTAATGCATCTTTAATTTGTCTTTTTCTTCTTCTATTTTTATCTTTTACTTCACTATTTTTATTTTTTATTTTTTTATTCCCGGACAGCTCATTAGAGCTGTACGGAATGACCTCTAATTAGAGGTCTGTAGCAAGATTGTTCACAATAATGTATGTCCCATCAAGAGCTCCAAGAGAATTTTATCAATTTTTTTTAAAAATAAAAAAAAATATATTTTATAAGTGATAATTATATATACATATATTAAATTTAAATTAAGTACATACTTCAAATTATCTCCAATTAATATCCATTGAGTTTACAGGAATAGTCTCAGGCGTTTTAAATAAATTTTGTTAAAGTCATATGACAGAATTCAAGACATTGTGAAAATGTCTACTTACACTTTCCGTTGATCATTTAAACTGATATTTTACAACTCGATTCTTCACATCGTGAGCAAAAATATACAAAAACATTGCTACTTGTTCATCAACTAACATATTTTTGGTATCTTTTAACCGACCCAAGTTTTGCAGGATGAAGCACAATTTCATGAATATCAACTCTAAGTTGCTCAACACAATCTTTACCATTGTTATAAACAAGTCGATAAATATTTTCTCTATTTGTGTAGAAATTTAAAATATATCTTGAACTCGAATAATGCTTCTGCATGTATATATCTACTAAAGAATAGATAAGTTGATACCACCAATTCACTGCATACCCAATATCCAACCATAACATCATAATTGATGCCAATTTTTTTGTCTCAAATATTTTCTTGTTTCCAAATTTAAACGAGCCATAACTGCATTAAAAATAAAAATACATTCTTTATGAGCTAATAAAATCTAAAAAAAATTTGGCAAGGCATGAATTAAAAATAATTGAAATACTATTTAATCAACATTCATTAAAGCAATACAAAATAAAAAATAATAATTTTGTATAGAAATAGAAGAAAAAAAAGGAACATTACAGTTAACATGTCGAAAAACCAAGGAATATTTATTTAAATTAACATACTAAATGTTAAAAGACCTTAATTTGATGTTTTGCCTAAACCGCAAAGATGATTAGACCACCACTTATTAACATTACACAATGATAAAATTTAAATCTACTATATCTAACAGTAGCTCATTCATTATGTCAATTTATTATTGCTATTTTGATATTTTGTATCTTTCGTTTTATATTTCTTGTTGTAGTAAATATATACACTTACAAAAAAAAAAAAAAAAATCAGTAATGTCTTTGAGGTAGAAATTTTTTAATCTGTCAATAATAAATAACAATCACTTGTACAATGTTTATGTATGGAATAAAAATTAATTTTTCAAATTAGTTCACATGGAAAAAAATACATAAAATGAAACATACAAATCACTCAATTTTGTGTATGTGAAACAAAATTTAAATCAAGAAAAAAAGAAAAAAAAAATACAAACAAACTATGTATAAAAATAAAAAAATGAAAAATAAAAACACAACATATATATATATATTCTATTATACATTGAATGTGATTTCATAGAGTTTCATATATATATATATGCCTTACAACTAACATCTAAAGAAATTGAAACATAATTTAAATTATATATATTTATATATATATATTGAACTTGATAGAAGAATAATAATGGAATCTTCTATGGCTGAGTGTTTAATATGGGAGAGCATTCGTAGAGAGAGATTGAAGAGAGAGAAGAAAAAAAAAATTCCTGAAATGATCATTTTGTTTTTTTATTTTTATGAAAGAGATCGTTATTTTATTTTATGATGATTTCATGTTGGAATGGAAGAACTATTCCTTAGCTTCTCATATGAAATAGGTATTCTCACTTTTTATTAGAATGGTCATTCCCATTGAATAACTATTTTCACTTAAATAAAACATACCAAACGAAGAAAATGAAATACAAAAACTAGAATAGGCATTTGATTCCAGCCCATTCCATCCTACCAAACGTGCTCTAAGTCTTTTTCATTTGTATTGAGTATTCTAGTCAAAAAAAGCTCAAACCTTCACTTTGTTAGACAGTTTTTTCTTTGATTTGAGAGGCATGGAAGGCATTGTTTGGTTCATAAAAATGAGAAGGAATTTAGAAAGATAAAGAAAAAGAGTGTATAAAGTGTAGGTGAAATATAATTATATTTAATTCACATTTTACTTATTTTTTTATTTTATTTTCCCTTTCAAATTTGTACTCAAATTCTTTAACTAAATACAACATAACAGTAACCGAGAAGAAAAAAAGACATCTAAATTGTAAAGAGACATGACAATTGTAGCATGCTCAATCCTTTTCGGAGAGTAATTTATGTGTTCACAGCCACAACATTGGAGCTTATATCATGTTTGTTTGGGTGAATAAGGGATGAGATTGGAGTGTTAATGAGGTGAGTCCAACATTTGCTTGTTTGGTTATTTTATTATGTATTGAGATTGCTACTTTACTTGGATTATTATTCTCACATCACAAACAGATCACCTTTTCCTAAGATTAGATAGGATTGAAAAATCAATCCCCGGTACGCTTTTGCCTAGTTTTGATTTTTATTTTTTTTTTCAAAAATTGTGTTAGTTAGTTTATTAAATAAGATGGATTAAAATATTTTTAATATTACTTTTTTAAATAATCTAATTGTGAAAAAAATATTTAATTTTTTTAATAAATACTAAATTTTTTATAATTTTTTTGTATGAATTTTTTAATGATTTTTACACAAAATTTATATTTAGGCAAAAATTAAAAAATATCAATTCAATATATATATTTAATACTATTTGGGTAAATTACAAATACATTCCTTAAGATTTGCTTAAAATGCGAATTGCCCCCTATGGTTTGAAAATTTTCAAATACCTCCCTATCAGAATTTTTTATATAACAAAATTAATTAAAAAAGTAAAATTTTTAACTGTTCACCTATACAATAATAAAATTATCTAAATTATTAATTGAAATAAAATTTTAATATTATTAAAAACTGTTAATTAACTTGATAATTTATTAATAAAAGGCCTATTTATTATGAAATTATAAACTTTAGGAGGCATAATGTAATTTTTAGAATCACATGAGATAATTTATAATTTAAGTAAATCTCAAATGTGTATTTGTAATTTACCCATACTATCTATACCATTAATAATTCGTTGGCGTTCAAACAATCATTTTTTATCTTATATCTGTAATTTATAGTCTGTTCATTCAATCTTACTATACCTTTATGGTGTGTTTGTTTTAAATGATTAGGGGGTGGGAATGGACTATTAGTCCCACCGGACTAATAGTCCATTGTTTGTTTCATTTTTTTTGCTCCGGGCTAATAGTTCCTCCGGACTATTAGTCCCACAAATATGGGACTATCCTATCCCATGGGGGTGAGATAGAAACTATGAGATTGGTATTTCATGGGATTATTTTGTGAAATGTCCATTTTACCCTCCATGATATTACTTGACAAACATTTAGAAAAGGATAAAATAATCTTTTGAACATTTATAAATTATTTTTTTAGTGTTGTTAATTTAAAATTATATATTAAATAAAAATTTTAAATTATAAATTATAAATTTAATTTAATTAAAAATAATCAACTATAAAATATGGCCTGATAAATTAATTTTTAGTGTTTGTTGTAAATTTTAATTTTTATATATTAAATAAAATTATTTTTATTTTTAATTTAAAATTATATGAATAAAAAATATAAATATTATAAATTAATTTATTTAAAAAATAAATTATAAATTATGGCCTATAAATTTAAATTATTTTTTTAGTGTTGTTAAATTTAAATCTTATATATTAAATAAAATTATTTTTTATTGCGTTAATTTAATTATATATTCAATAAAAAATATAAATTATAAAATATTTATATTTCATAAATTAATTTTTGGTTAAATTATTTTATATATTAATAATAATTTTATGTATTAATTGAATATCATAATATTTTAAATTATTGAATATAATTAATTAATGCAAAATAAAATAAAATAAATTTTTATTTATCTAGCTAAAATAATTCAAAATATAAAGTATGTTTAATATTGCTATTCTTAGTAAAATAATTGAAAAGAATAAAGTAGTCATTTGAAACATTTATCCTTCTCCATAATATCCCAACAAACATTTGATAACTTAAAAAAGTCCAATCCAGTACATCTAATCACATGACTAAACAAACATAGGATATCAAAATTAGTCAACCCAAATTGTCTGGGACAATGTATCACAGGACAATAGTCCGATGGATTAAATACCCCTTATTCATCCCGTCCAATCAAACACAATCGCCTAAACGCCCCTTAAGGTTGTTTGATA